ATATTCTTAAAAAAAAAAAAAAAAGAGGAACCTTGGGGGCACGAAAGACCCCACAATTGCCGAACATGTCTTTTTGAGAGAAGAAGGAAAAGACAATGGTAGCTATTATTTTCTACAAGCCATCTCATTATAAAAAATAGCATATTAACGCCTTGACCGGAACATCTGGCTCTGATTTGTCCACGTCATTGAGTATGTCTAAACTTCTTCCAACTCAACCTTTCATCACCAAACACGTGTAGCTGACACCTGTTTACGTAATCTGGTGCTCCACACGTGGCTTCGTTGTCTCTTTGTTTTCTTTCTTTTCACATGGTTCAAAGACTTTTTCTTTGGGAGCTAACTAAAAATGTATTTTGTATACAGTATTTTTATATTTTTAACTATTAAAATTAAAATTATTATTATTATTATTTCGATATAACACCTTATCCTTTTGTTTGATATGGAAGAATGTAGCAATATTATTATAATATATTTTTTATTATGGACCAAAATTATTGGTGTTAATACTTATAGTCAAGATTGTAAATTTAAACCTCAATTGAATTGAGATGGTTTATAAAAAAGGGTTAATCTCATTTTGCACCCTGAAAGATCGTTCAAATCTCAATTTACATTCTCAAAGATCAAAAATCTCAATTTACACCCTCAAAGATAGAAATTTGTATCAATGTACACCCCTAAAGATCAAAAATCTCAATTTACACCCTCAAAGATATAAATCTGTATCAATGTGCACTTAAAATTAAATTGATAAATTATACCTAGATCCCCTCGTGTTTGTCACTTAATCATTTGAACCCCTTCACATTTAGAATATTACCCCTACATCTCATGACGTTTGTACATGTGTAAACATAACCACTTTTCGTTGATATCTATTAATATAATCGTTAAAAAATATGATTTTATCCTAATAAAAAATTATAATTTCATATTACTCTTTATTTTGTGGATTCGATATACTCTAAAGTTCAAAATCAAGCTTACCATTTGAATATCTAATAGAATGTAGATATTTATATAAAGGAAAATATGAAAAATATTATATAAATATCTACATTTTATTAGACATTCAAATGGTAAGCTTGATTTTGAATTTTAGAGTATATTGGACCTATAAAATAAAGGTAATATGAAATTATAATTTTTTATTAGGATAAAATTATATTTTTTAACGGTTATATTAACAGATATTAATGAAAATGAGTTACATGTTGTACGTGCATAAATGTTATGAGATGTAAGAGTAATATTCTAAATGTAAAGAGGTCAAAATAATTAAGTGACAAACATAAGGAGTTCTAGGTATAATTTATCAATTTAGTTTTAAGTGCATAATGATACAAATTTCTATATTTGAGAGTGCAAATTGAGATTTTTTATCTTTAGGGTGCACATTGATATAAATTTTTATCTTTGAGGGTACAAATTGAGATTTTTGATCTTTGGAGGTGCACATTGATACAAATTTCTATCTTTGAGGGTGTAAATTGAGATTTTTGATCTTTGGGGGTGCACATTGATACAAATTTCTATCTTTGAGGATGTAAATTGAGATTTTTGCTCTTTGAGGGTACAAATTGAGATTCAAACGATCTTTCGGGGTGTAAAATGAGATTATTGACAACATGACTTCATCGCCTTCAGCGTTCGGTAATGAAAAATCGTCTAATTAACACATAAGAGCGATGGTAGGAAGATTGATCGAGAGATTTGAGATGCGACTAATACTTTTTACGAGAATTTTTGAGAGACTAATTCTTGATTCCGTAAATGCAAGGTTTATATTTGCATTGAAAGGAATTTGTTGAAACATGTGTTCACAATAAACTCACAAAATTAAAAACATACGTGATTGTGACATTCGATTTCCATATAGTCTATTAGTTATTCCAATTTTTCTTTCTTTCTTTCTAGAGTTATGAAGAACATACCAATAAACTTAAAAATTAAATGGAGCAAGTCCTTTGTATTTTAATGCATATGGGCAAGTCTTAAAATAATTATCTATGTGTAAAAAATTGTTCATATCACATCAACATGATCTATTAACACCTATCAAATCATATAATTTTTTTTTCTTTTTGTACTTTTCCTCTTTGCTACATCCGATTAATGATCTTCTCTTATTTAGAAAGATGATGTTGAAATATATGTTAGATAAGTACATATAGCAAAAATCAAAATGACACTACAAAATGCCAATATTGAGTAGTCACAAAGGATGTAAGAGGTACAAAAAAAAAACACTTAGTTGGGAATCTTTGCTTCTTCCAAATACAAGATATATTTTTTTTTTCTTTTTAGGTAAATAAAGAGTGTTGTAAATTAGTGAAACTAATATCTTTGAATTTAATCTTATATTTTATGTTGTAATCATGGGTCTAACTAACGCGTGGTCACGACAAATATACTTTGACATTAGTATGTCTTCCGATGTGGTTCCTAGGTTTAAGCATCACCTAAAAACCCAAATTAAAATTTGTGATAGAAGATATTATTGACTTTGGTATAAATTATGCGTTTTGACCGTATTTTTAGTGAATAAGCGATAATGGTACGTATTAGTGTAAATAACGTATCCCGAAATTGTCGAATACTTTTATACTTCAAGTCTCATTCGGCATTTCATAATGACATACGTCACATGTTGAAAGTAAAAGTAGTAGAGAAATATTCTTGTAGTATGAACATAATATAATATAGAGTTGCTTTCAACCTTGCATTATCTTTATCCATAAGCGTCTTGTCACCTTCTTATTATTGGATCAAGTTAATTGTTTTATGAGAATTATCCATATATATTTTATGTGAAGGGCAAATTAAACTTCGACTCCCTCCACTATGCTCCTATTTTATATCGCTGTCCGAGATCTATTAAGTTGTTTCCTATCCTCCAGATAGGTTTCATTTTTCTCCCTATTACCCACAATTGTACTTATTAGTCTCACATAGCCTTTTCAATAATTATGAACCTGTTTGGTTTGATTTTTAAATTAATTTTTTATTCTCAAAATTCTTAAAAAGTAGAACAAGTTTTGGTTTGATTCTTTATTCTCCAATTTTTCGAAAAACAGAGATGTAAATAACAAAAAATAGAAGCAAGTCCAGCTTGTTGTCAACCAATTTGAGAACAATTTCCAGAAAAAATGGGGAAAAAATGTGTCCAATTAATTAGATCCGACCATCGTATCCTATTAGCTACAAAAATATGCCCTTATTATATATATAGTGTAAAAACCCCCCCAAATCAACAAACATCTTCACCTCCGGCCCAAATCACCTTCTCCATCAGACGAACGTCTTCTCCTTCAGAGCACCTACAACCAATTGGGTTCCACTAACATCAAAATTCGACGACCAACACAACTCTCTCTCTCTCTCTCCTCCCCCCCCCCCCCCACCTTCCCGAATGCAGCAAATCTATGTATATGTACAAATGATCTATACATATACACAATTTTTTTTTGTGTGTATATATATATATTGTGTAATGGGTGTGTGCTCTCCGACGTTATTTTTTATTCAAAAAAATTGTTGGTGTTTTTTATATTTTTTTCTATTGAATATGTTTGGTTTTATTTCAAATGAAGGTCATTAATCTTTTTTTTTATATTGATTTTATTTTTGATCAAGACCATTGAATTATTTGATTTATTTTAAAGTTTAGTTTATTGAATTTTTTTTTTATAAAATTGTCAATCTAAAAATATTTTTCTCATATTTTTTTTATTAATTGTTGAATTACTATTCAAACATATATTTATATTATTTAAATATGTTTTACTATTTTCTGTTATGTAAAATTATTTTTAGAATCATCTAACTAAACAAATTCTTTGTCTCAAAAAAATCAAAACACATTTTTTAAAACTCTTCTAAAAAATCTGTTTTGGAATACTGTTTTTTGATATGTAATCCAAACGCGTCCTACATTTCTTACCGTACATGCACCTCAAATTATAATTGTTCATTTTAAATTGTCCCAAATTTAAACGCTAAACATATGTATTTTATTACCGATATGGACATTTTTTGCTCAAAACATGACATAAGTTTGATTTTGGAGCAGTGTGAAACTCATTCGAGTAACTAAAGGGCCTATTTGAGAAACTCAATAGTCACAATCACAATTAATAGGGTCCAAGTGTAATTTACCCTCTGGTGAATGTATAAAATATAGGGCTGTCCTCTCCATTCAGGTTCCCGAAATTTCAGTTTTGTCCTTTATTTGATCACTAAAAGAAGCAATGTTGGTGGAATCCCCCGCGAGGATAGCTTTATGTTGTACATACATTTTTTTTTTCTTGTTTCAATGGTTAAATGTGTTAGAATTAATTTATGTGTAATTTGATTAATTTTTTTTTTGATCCGGTTAAATACACGTCGAGATTAAGGTATTTACGAAGATAAATCTCTCAAGAAATTAAATTTTTTATTGTTATCTCTCATTGTCTGACCTAAAAAAATTATCAAAATTTAAAATCTTCGTAACCACTGCTAAATCCATTTCTAGATTCTAATCACTGCCCTTCCTGGGTTGCTCTCTCTCTCTCTCTCTCTCTCTCTCTCTCTCATACGCACACACACACACCAGCTGTTCACGTTGGGTTTGTTCAAGTCCAAACAAAACATGAGAAACAGAAGCAGTGTGCCATCAATGGCAGAATGTGCACCAAGGGCAAGCATAACAGAAACCAAAATATTATTCCAACCTGTATCTTGTAGGCTACACCAAACTATATACACACCAACAATGATATTGTACATAACATTTATAAAACAACATATATCCAAATTCAAGCAAAAAACAATACAAATCTGAAGAAAGTAAAACCCATAAATATTTTGAGTTTATAGTTCTAAATTTCCTTCCTTTTACAATGAATGAGTATAGAATGAGAAAATTTTATTGCAAACTCTAACATGAAAAATGAAAAAAAAATTTCCCTTCACTTTCTTTTCTTTTGAGTATTTGCACTGAAAATGTTTTGTTAGGTTTCAAGGAATCCAGTCAATCTGAGAATTGTATTCCGGACTTCACTCAAGTCTCGGCCTTTTAGAGTCCTCCCATTGCCGGTGCACACAGAGAACGCCATTTTTCCTGCGATGCGCCGGCGGAGAATCACATGAGGTGGCACTATCTCTCCATCATCATAATAATCATCGTCAAAAAAATCTGAATCCACGTATGGAAACCATGAATTCCCGGAAACGTTTTCCGGGATATTCACCGGAACGGAATTCTCTTTCTTCTTCTTCTTCTTCCTTCTTTTCACCTTCTTGTTTTCCAATTCCCCGGAATTCGACCGGAAGTTGCACCGTTCATTGTCTTCATTTACAGTATTTTCCTGGAAAATTACTTCAGATTCTTGGAATTCTTCAGCCATGGAGAAAAATGGTTATATGAATCAAATGCTATTTCCCTTCGCAATACTCTTCGATTAACGGGAATCAAACTGGGTAATTGAAAAATGGGTGTATGAGAAAAGAATGAATTAAATAATTCAATATCAGAGCTGAATTCTCTACAAAAACCAAGTTCTGTAAGTCTGTATTCAAAAGGTTCAAAGCGGGTAATGAGCAATGGAACGAGAAGAGATTGAGGAGGAAAGGAAAAGAGAGGAAATTGGAGATTGAGGAACTGAGAAAGGAGGGAAAATGGGGTGGGAATATATAGGGAAAAGGGAAGAATGATTGGGGGAGAGGAGAATTTGAATCTTAGAGAGTACACTTGGATTGTTTTGTTAGATGGCGTCACTGTAAGAAGCGTTGAGTGCGGCCCCAGCTTTCTCTCTCCTGTATTACTTTCTTTGTCTGTCTAAGTTTTCTCTCTCTAGAAGTAACTCAGCTTTGCCTACACAAAACAGCTGGGTTTCTTGTGGCTCACGGCTTTCTCTGTATAGCTTGTGTAGTTATTTAATTGACTTGACTTTTTTGTCTCAACATCAACGGAGTTTGGGTGTGTGTAAATTACTCAAGGCTTTTTTAATAAAAGATACTCACAAAAGTAAATACATAGTTTTTGGTTACTTACCCTAATTCAAAAACATATTACTGCAATTTTGTCAAAGGTTAGACGCTTTTAGAGGCGTACATTGGGTCTCACCTAAGGGTGGGCAAAAAATCGATAGCCTATGGACTTGGCCATGAGCTCGATAACAATTCCTCCAATTTTAACTTTTGTGCAGAATTCAAACTTTAAAGATTATAAATGTATTATATTTCAAAGGAAAAAAAACACTCTCATCAAGGAAGGCCCGATGAATAATATGTGGATGGACAACTTGCCTTCTGGCCGTTTGGCCGTTTGACCAATCAATGGGCCACTGCTTCAATCCACATAAAGGGATAGGCTATTGACTTGGTGGGTCGTGGTTATTGAACCATCGTCCCACCGCCAACAGCCTATCCTTAATGGCAAAAGCTCGAGACCTCTTTATGAGAGGTTAGGGATTTAACATGGTAAGAGACTTTTGGGGAAATCAAGATTAGTTCAAAGTTTGAAATGTGACACTCTTGAGGATAAGTTCGTGGAAAGTGTTAGTCATGAGAATTAATTACATAGGTAGGGTTTATATATGAAAATTATTTTCATGTTTAAGTGGAGAAAATGTGGTCACCTTGACTGAATTTTGGTAAGAATAGTCTAATGCACATGAGATGGTGTCACTATATATGTAGGAAACAAGAAGAAATTGAGTTATGTTGTCAACATTATTTATTGTTTGTGTGTAACTACAATGTCTCTACTTAAACTATGGGAAATTAAAAAAAAAAAAGGAATTAATTAGTGTCCATGTTCAAACTGCATTAAGATTAAAAACAATTTGAAGAACCCTAAGTCAATTGGGTTTGCATTTTCTTTCCTTCACATCTAGCTTCATATTGGTGCAAGAAGCCAATTCTTATTTATCATAAATGAATTTCATAATTTTTTATTCTAATTTTTTATATTTAAAATCCGCTTAATATATGAAACATAAATATGTCTGCTCGATGATCAGTCTTGCTCCTCTTCAATTTTATTAGGATTAGAGAATTATTCGACGGTCACTTGAATGGTCACATTATTGTACACCCCAGTAAATTTGTTGATTAAAAAAATTAATTTAATTCTATTTTCTAGACCTCAAATAAAATATATAAATTAATTTTTAATTAAGTCTGATTTTATTTTAAGGGCCCATATTAAAAATATTTTAAACTTAGATTCAATTAAACCCAAATTATCTTCTTGAGACCCTTAATTGAATTTGTAGACCCATGTTCAATGTAGTGATCCAAATTGAGTTAATCCTAATTTTATTTTTAAGCCAATAATTTAAAATTTCATAATCATCTTCAATCACTGAGTTTTTGAAAAATTAAAGGTTATAAATTGGAAATTGAATCACTTTTCAATATTAAAGCTAAAAATTATTTTTTTTCCTTAAAACATCATATGTTCAAATTACAAACTTATGCCAACAACTTGTAGGTAAATTGTTTTACATAATAAATTAGTGAACACAAACACGACATAAACCCACTTGATTGAAATTAATTTTAAATATTTATAGATTAATTGTGTTTAAATTATTTTAAATTTTGCACAATATGAATAAATATTCCGTAAGCCCACTACCAAATCACCTATTACAAACCTCTCTTGAAAACACAACACCACATTTCATGTGTTATATAACCACCTTAATCATAAGAATACATCGGTTATAAATAGGGCTTTTTAATGAATATGTTGCATTGGATTTTCGTCGTGTCTAAATCTTGTGGTGTGATTACACGCGAGTTCATGCAGTGTTAAGTTTGAATTGTATAAATAACGAGTTGTTGGTTCAGTAAGTAAGAACTCAAATTTCTCGCTCAATTCTTGAATTCAAGTCTCCATAGTTACGATAGTTCGTTGGGATTAAACATACTCTTCAGCGTTAAGAATACACAGTGAGATCTTAGCTTAAATCCTGACTTAGGTGAAGTGAGATCTCCAACAAATAACTGTATAATGCCGAAGGACAATACTTTGTGATAGATATTGTAAGTGACATATCTGCATATCTAATTATGTACTCAAAAAAAAAGTTTGGATTGTATTTAAAAAATGTATAAATTGTATTTAATTGATTCTTCTTGTTTTTAATTAAATATATATTAATTAATTTATTTAAAAGATCTAACAAATTACTTATTTATAAACCGAACCGACTTAAACTAAACTCAAAAATCTAGTAATTGTATATTGAATACAGCCGATTATATTTTGCTACAGATCTAAGCTTGTAATCTATGTAATGATTAGATGCGAGCCGTAGGAGTAAAGCTACCACGCCGCTAGGCGCATCCGGCGGCTCATGCACCGGCTAGTGGGACCTATTTCCCGAGGTCTACCTCATTACCCAAACACACTTCCCAATAATTCACGAAGACATCAATCAGAACTTGCCACGTTTTTGTGTGTCGTCACCACACACAAACATGGGAATCTCCTCTCAATAATTCTCTGCTTTCATGCCACGTTGCCCCCGCCGTTGCTTTCGTGTAAACAAGCCGACAAAGGAGTAAATATTTTACGAATAATACAACGTATACTTAAAAAATAAATTTAATAAACATACCATACCTATTCAATAGATAGAAGGTGTTTATAAATATTGAGTTTTATAGTAAAATTAATGGTTATAATCATTAAATTTAATTTTTAAGTTTATATAATATTACTCATACTTTACGGTACAAAATAATAATTTTTTAATATCAAACTAAACATTATTATTTATAATTGGTAAATTATATTTTTTTGAAAATAAAATTATAATTAATTGAAATTAATTAATACTAATAATAAAATATTTTAGTCCTATAATTCTTCGAAACTCTTAACACTCTGTGCAAATTCTCCATGAATTTGCGTTCTTATTTTACAAAACTTATAAATTTAATATTTTAATTCACAAATTTGATTAATTTGCACTATTACTTATTTTTATGAATTTTTTATTATTACTCAAATTTTTATTTAAAAAAATACTAACTCAGGATACATTTTACTCAAGACTTATTATAATATTTGTAAATTATAATTATCATTTTAGGTTTTTTATAATTCACATATATCTAAAAATTAAATAGTTTGTCTCAAAATTGTATATAAAATTTTTATGAGTAAATGTGTATCTATATGCATATAATATGACACTCTCAATTTTTGTCGAATGATAAAACTTTTGTACTCTGCTCTCGCTTTTGTTCTTGCCCCCACCTTTGCTCTATGTGATCTAAATTATCCTAATAATTCACGTAAACAAAATATCATATGTAAATATATTTACATGGATTATATATATATATATATATATATATATATATATATATATATATATACACTAATACTCTCTAACATTTAATTTTATTACATGGACAACCCCCTAACGTTTTTAAAATTACACTAAGACCCCACAAAATGAATGTCGTAACGGCACAAACAAAAAGACCATTTTACCCTCACCTTAACTATTCATTAAGACCCAAGACCCCTCTCTTGAAAGTTGACCCCCTTCACACCCCCTTTCCCACACACACACTCTTTCGCTCATGACGAATCAAAGCCCTTAGTATTTTCACCAACACCCAGCAGCAACCATTGCTGCCTATTTTCACCAACACCCATCACTGTTGGGTTTTAAATTCACCTACCCCCCACCATCGCCTATTTTCACCAACACCTAATGGTACAACGAACGAATCTTTACCTAGGGTTTGTAATCTCTATTTGTCTCTCTGTGATCGATACTCTAGATGGTGGAACCGATTATAATTGGTGGATTTTTGCAAGTGATGGTTGCAAGTGGATTTTGAAATCCTAACCTCTGCGATGTAATGGTGTTGGTTGATGATGGATTTGGTCCAGGTGGTGATTTTAGTGGTGGTGGAGACAGGAGGTGGATTCAATGGGTTGAGATTTTAGTCTCTCATCTCTCTCTCTCTTTCTTTGTGGTGGTGGTGGTGGTAATAGTGGGTGTAACGCCCCAGTTTTTTGGACTCGTTACTTGATTAAATCAATTGATCAATAATAAGCCACAAATAAATCTCCGAGTATAGGATCAGAGCTCTAATTGTTTCAATAAATTTATAATCAAAATTTTAATCTCCAAATACTAATAAAATAATCTCCTCAATATAAAAACGGATTTTTTTCAAATTATACATCACCCTAATAAAACCACAAAGTTAAAAATTATGTCAAGATTCATCTGTCTTCGATTCTTCAAATATCAACTTTGGTCCTTTCCTCTGAGATAATCCTGAAAAATATTAAAGGCAGAGAAGTATACAATATGACAGGAAACAATATGCTCAACAAGAAAAGAATATGAATGATCAAATACCAAAT